AGTTAAAACAAGGTCTTTGGGTGCTCTGATCCTATATGACTGATGTCTTTATAAGAAGAGATCAGGACACAGACACACACCGAGGAAAGACCACATGAAGGCTCGGGAGGGAGAAAATAGCCATCAATGGAGAGGGGCTTCGGAGGAAACCAGCCCTGACACACATTGCTCTCTGACTTCCAGTCTCAGGATGGTAAGAAAATACATTTCTGTGGGTTAGAGTCACCTAGTCGTTCGCACTTTGCCAAGGCAGCCAGAACAAACAAATGCACTCTTCAGCTTCATGTATCCAAAAAGTCCTCTTTCTGCTGTTTCATGGGTCATCTTTAAGGGTCAATCCAAGATGGATTCAGCTTGCCTGCACCAACACTTACGGAAAAGCCACTATGTGGTCAAGAACACTTGGAAGTACCTGTTCCCAGATGCTGAGCTTTCTTTTCAAACAAATGATTGAAATCTGCTAGAGTGAAAAGCCTGTTGATTTAGACTAATCCTCACGGTGTTACAGTTCTGAATGATGCATGATATTTGATGCCTGTATGTCAGAAAGGCTGACAATCTGACAGCTTGTTCTGCTAAGAGGACCAAGTGTATGCAGACACAATGTCAAGAAGATATGCAACTCAGATGAGAATTAAGATATGTGTTTCCTCGTGTCTTTCTGTACAGGCAATCTCAGCCAGTGGTTAGGTGGCACTGAAGTCTTAGAGGGATGTTCTGCTATGTGAACTTGGGTATCTGGCCCTACCCAGGGTACCACAGGAAACAAAGGACAGCTGCTTTGAACTTGACACAGGAAGCACTACCAAGAGTGACGGGCATATCAGCTCCACACAGCAATTTGCCTTCCGCTCTCCACTGACCAGCTCTGTGACCTGAGGAGAACCCTTGGCCCAATATCTTCATCGATACATGGAATAAAGGCAGCGTTGAGAGGATGAAGTGAAATCATAATGCAAGAATTACGTAAACCAAATAGAACAAATGATAAACACATGTGGCCACTAATACTGTTGAATTAGATGAAAGATAACGGAACCAAGAATCAAGAGATTTGGAATCCTACACCGTATGTGCTCATATATATATATATGTAATATATATATTACGCTTCAGTTAAAATGCTGATTGAGAAGCCAGCAGCTGGCATGGTGGCTAAGGTGCTGGATCCCACATTGCCAGCTGTGTAGTTGAAGTCCTGGACCCGGCAGATGGAAAATCATGCTGGGCACATGTGAGTGTATGCTCAAAAATCCCAAGAGGAGAATGGAGGCAAAGGGACTGCAGCAAGGTCATCCTCCCGAGGGGATGATTTCTCACTTTTCCTCTTCCTTTCTCTCTCTCTCTCTGGTAAGCACATGCACTCTTTTGCAAACTAAAAAAATTTTAAAATAATGTAAAGAAAAAACAAAATCTCTTCAACTAACTTAAAAAAATAAAATAAAATGCTGATTAAAAGAAGAAATTTCCAATCCTGTTTCTGCTACAAACCAGTAAACCACTGGAGCACCTCACCTCTTATCACCTTAATTTCCGCATATCTCAACTGAAGGTGTAACTATTATCTTCCGTTATCTGTTCCTCTCTGAAATTCTATGATGTACTTCTCATTACTCAATCCTTGGGTAGTATATGATAATGAATCCTTAAAATGAGGATTTTGACACATAGGTGGGGACACCTCTCTTTGATGTGAAATGCCTGAGGTGTCAAAGAACAAAAATGTTTTTTTGAGGTTCCTGGCTGTTTTGTGACTAGATTATGCAGTAAATGCCAAATGATTGATCAGGTCTTAGGAGGGAAGCTCTGACTAAGAGACACTCCACGAGATGAAAGTATTCTGAATCTTTCAGGCATAAAAAAGTACAGTGTTCCACGTGCAGTTTCCCTCCTCGCCCACACGCAATGTACTGGGCTGGTGGAAAAGTCAAGCGTATTTTTGTATAGAAAAACATGTCGTGACTTTTCCAACAACCCAATAAATACTTACAAAATGTTCAGAACCCAGATATATACCTTGTCTTCCCTAAACCTAAGCATGAACGCCAACTACCAATTACTCCTCTAGCTATGTGATCCTGGGAAGTAGGCTTTCCCTTTCTAAGTCTCAGCCTTAAAAGGATATTAATGGTAAGAGAAGCTATCTCATAGCACAGGGCACCGCAGTCTCAACAAATTCATGGCTTAGTGTCTAAACTGAGCATCTCTGTCCGCTCGACTATTAGGCTCACACTGTCAAAGACTGTGTCTGACATGTATGTTAGTACCTAGCATCATATTGTGAGTTTCTAGGCATGTAGTGAACAGTTTTCAAGATTGAACCAGGATTCAAAGAAATAAGTTATGGCTCATTTCTAAGGAGGAATGAGATCAAACAGAGACAGAAGGGAACCTAGGCTATATTTTGAATACATTTTTCATATGGAAGGACAACTAGATACTAGAATATGTTTTCTTATTCTGAGGTCTTTTTTTTTTTTAATTTTGCTAGATGGTATGTACATTCACCAGAGAGGGACAGAGAAAGAGAGAAAAGCACACCCCCCCCACCCCCACCCCGGGAGAATGGTCATACAGCAATCCCTTCTCTTTCATTTCTCCTTTTGGGAGTTTTGGGCACTCATGCACATATGCTTCACCTATTTTTCAAGCTTCCAGGTCCAGGACTTGAACTATCCAAATGTGTTCAAGTGGGATTCGATAGCCTTAACCACCATGGCACCCACTGTTCTTTCCCCTTACCCCTTTTTAAAGACAGAGTTTCACTGTGTTGCAATCCTCCTGACTCAGCCTCTCAGGTCGCTGGAACTACAGGCATACACCCCTATGCCCAGCCTTAAGTTTGGACTGGGACTCTCTCAGGTCGCTCATGTGGTTCCAGCCTGAGAAGCAGTGTCTTAGCCCCTGCACATGCCATGGCAGCTAGGCTATTCTATTGTCTTTAATAAACATTAAAAATATTACACAAAACCAAGCAATTTTACTTTACTTATGGTGTTGAAAATATGAGAAAGATAGACTAAATGAAAAAGGAAAAATCACAGCCATGCTGTAATAACTAGAGATTACAATTTGGATGGGGCACTTGACCACACTCTGTCATATTCCACCCTAAGCCTACCACCCTTCCATCAATACAACTCCAACCTTACAAACTGATAAGAAAAGATTGTCTGTGTGTGTAACATCAACTTAAGCCAAACTGTATTTAGCACACCTAAAGAATGAGATAATACTTCATCACCACTGCTTGAAAAGCTATCATGTAACGTGAATGTCTTTCGTTTTTGGAAACCCTCAAGTAAGCCCCAGTCAAGAGCTTCAAGGTACTATAAATTCGTGATCTGTCTTGAAGACAATATCACCTTCTAAAAGTCATGAGGAACAAAAAGGGCTATATGGACCTGCTTCTTTTTCTTTTTAAAAATTTGTGACAGAGAGGATGAGCTTGATAGAGAGAGACAAAGAGTGAGAGAGGGAGAGTGAGAAAGCACCCTATCAGAGGGAATAATCATGCTGTAATGGAGAACTCCAGTATCCTCTTTGGGCATGCATGTACACAGGCCTGGGGTCCAAGAAGCAAATCGTGCAGGTGGCCATGTATAATCTAGCCACCTTAACCACAATGCTACGAGCTGGCCCTGAACCTTATTCTAAAGCAAAGAATTATGGAGAAATGTGGGAGAAAGTGAAAGTAACATGTTGGAGTTTTCAATGCAAATTATTTAAAAAAAGAAAAAGAAAAAGGAATCTGCACGTAGTCCTGGCAGATTTTTCTGGAACTAATAAACAATATTCCATATTTTTCCCCCGGAAACTCCAACTTTCTGGATTTACTTTGAAAGTATTTGCATTTCATTGCCGCCCCCCTCCCCTTCTTCTTCTTCTTCTTCTTCTCCTTTTTTAAACATTCGATCGCTATATGACATTTGGGTTGTAAAGAGAATTCACTCAACCTGAAATACATCTCAGACCAGTCCAGTTGAGAATATTATACACATTATCAACAGGTAATAAACAATTTGTGTCTAAAAAATGTCTTCCTCTCTATTTTTTCTCCCTGATTTTCTTCTCTATACTCTTCCCTTTTCCCACTCTCGTTCTGCACTGTCTCCAATGTCTGCAACTATTTTCACTGCTTTTATGTCTTCCAATCTTTCAATATCTACCATAACAGAGAGACAGAAAGTGAGAAATCACCCCCTGAGGGGGATGACCACGCTGCAGTCCCTTCTCCTCCATTCTCCTCTTGGGATCTTGGGCAGGCACACACAGGCGCCTGGTGAGAGTATAAGTCATTGGGTCCGGGACTCAAACCGTGGTAGACTATGTGGGAATCCAGCAACATAGCCATTCCACTAACTGCTGGTCCTGACAGGTGGTGTTTATTAAGTGGAGATATACAGTATCTCTCTTTCACAGCCTGACTTGCTTCACTCAGCAATAAGTCTTTGATATTCAACCACTTTCTATCAAATACCTTTCTATCAATCCATTCATCTCTTCGTGGACATTTGGGTTGGTTCTACGTCTTAGCAAATGTGAAAAATGCCACAGTATGCAATGATGTGCAAGTGTTTTTCTGACTAAGCATTCATCTGTCCGTTGGGTACTGAGGAGTGGGATGACAGCACTGCATTTCAAATGTGCTAAGCACCACTAGGAATGAAATGTATGTAATGTGGCTACAGTTTGCGAGTACTCTGCACTAGGTACCTTTTTATATGAGAATCCGAACCTGCTGACCGTAAATGGTGTCAGAGTCCATTCTAGAATCTCGCCCTCTTAAGCACACATCTCCCCCTTCCTCTGCACCTGCTTCTGCCAACTCTTTGCAGACCTGACTTCAACCTGAGATGTGTTGTTAGAGCCCAGGCATGAAGCTTTCTCTCTGGAGGCTTATAATTGAAAAAGGTGTAGGTTTCCAGGCCCGTGGTGCCGAACCATGAGGAGTGCACTGTTGAGACAAACTTTAATTACAACTCCGTGGGGTGGCTCACCTGTTTTGCTGTTTCAGTGAGGGCAGCAGCTTCTGCCTTGCCCAGCTGTTGCACCATCTTGTAAAATAGACTCTCTTTATTCTGAAGCAAAACATATGGCTCATCATATTCCTTCAGTCTTCCCGAATCCAAAACCTGGTAATCAGCAGAAAGGAGCCCATTGAAGCACAATGTTTCACAGTATCATATTATAACGCAGACAATATTTCGGAAAGGGGCAGGAGAGAGAGACTCTGTTTGGGTGGTAGGCCTGGATGGTGTTTAAGTGATCTGATTACCCTTTCTTCCCGAAGCAAACAAAGGCCTAACCTGACCTTTTATTATTATAATGTTATAGGAAAGGAAGAAAATGAAAGTTCTAGACTATGATTATGGGCACTCAGCAGTTCTGTGGTACTGTATATTCTGCCACGGGCATTTTGGATTGTTATCATTAATTAGTGCTTTTAACGCCCAGCCTCCAGGTTTTGAGGACTATTTATATATACTTTTGGAGCTGACAAACTTCCTGATGTACGAAAATCAAACTGAATTCATAAAAGGTAGGGTAACGTCATACAAACCAGATGGCGGAAGCCTGACAGTGAAAAAATTCCTGAGTTGGTCTGAGAGATTCCGAGTAGTATTTGGATAAGAAGTAAATGCTTCTGGAGTTTGGCTAGGGTCCTAGAGGGTCAGCTGCTAGGAGAGGCTGCACCCGACAGTGAGGTTAAGGCAAATCCTGAAGCTTGATCTGGTTTAGTTTTTAGTTTTTTGTTATTTTATTTTATTTTATTTTATTTTAAATTAGAGCAGAGAGGGACAGAGTGAGAGAGAGAGAGACAGAGAGAGAGGGAAAGTGAGAAAGCATGTCACCAGGTCCTGGACTCAAACTCCAGTTGGCCATGTGGAAGTCCAGCACGCTTAACAACCACGCCACCTGCCGGCCCCGATCTGGTTTAGTTTATGACTGCAAGACTGAAAGGCTGGCCCAGAGAGCTGCTATAGAAGTAGCTTTAGTCTAATTGCTCTGCACAGAAGAAATCTCTAGAAACCAAATTTTCTCTCTGAATAAGACTAAAGAAGCAATTAAGAAACTGAGCTCCAAATTCCAGTGATCGCAACGCCCCCTGCACATAGGGGCGGCCCAATCTGAATTGCTGATGGTCTGAATATCCGTTTTCAGAATTATCTTTCTTTGCTTCTTTCTCTCTCCCTCTTGCTGCCTTTTAGCCATTTCGTTGCTCATTAATATGCCCACTGGAAATTGAAAGGGAGAAAAAGGGGCTCTTTACTCTGCATTTGGACTTAATAGTGGCTGTAGTTAATGGTTTCAGAGAGAAGAAACAAGTGGCCCAAATGACGTACCTAGGAAAACAGTGCTGATGTTAAGTGGCACTTAATACTTCATTTAGGTAATATTGAGAGTAAATCTATCTTGAGAGAATCTGCTGAAACTCTAAGCAGAACACAGGCTGTTTTTCCACATCTAGATATTGCAGTTAATTCCGCCCCATGGTATTCAATCGGAAACATTTATTAAGTCTCATAAAGGGCATTTTCATGTTAATCTTTTGTTTACTACTGTGAATCACTGCTAAGGGCAGCTTTCTCGAAAGAGTTCAAGAATAATTGAATCTGTCACATCCACATAATAATTAAGATGTCCTATAATTTGGCATGCCAATTTAGATGCCCCGAATGTGTAATTTTATTTAAGCACATCATTACAGAACATAAACCATCCCTCCTGATGTTGAAAGAAAAAAAATGCAATTTTAAAACATAGGTCTCCCTCATGAGAAAGACTAAGTAAAAAGTGAATCAAATTACTTTATAAAGTGATGAACTTTTTATTCTGCAAAAGCAACACCTTTTTTCTTTTCTAATAATTTGCTATAAGGTGTATGTGCTTGCTGGGGTAGGGGCAGAGGCGGGAGTGAACAGAGAGAAGGAGACAGCATCCCCAAGTCAGGGATGGCACACTGCAATCTCTTCTTCTCTATTCTCTTCTTGGGATTTTGGGCACTCACACACACGTACCTGGTGTGTTTTCCAAGATGCTGGGTCCAGAGCTGACTGGAACTACAAAGTCAGCCATGTGGGATCCAGTCACCTTAACTATCACACCATGGGGTCGCCCACAACAAGTAAACTTCTAAAAATCACTATCTCAGAGTTGGTGGAGAATGAGTCATCCAACTATGAATCATCTAGACTTTACAAAACTTTTAATGGAAAGAAAGCACTACGAATATTTTGTAGTTGTCCACCTTTCTATTAAATTTATTCACATTTGAATGACAAGTACATCTTTCTATTTTCCCTCATATTGTCTGAGAACGTGAATGCAGTTGAGATCAGTTTTCAGAATTAACTGGAATCTCAAAAAATGGAGAGTCAGATTAATGCTCTCAAAAAGCAAGAGGATTAATATTTAAAAATTATATATTATTTAGGTCAAAATATTTTTGACCATTACAAGTATTAATATTAACAATCTAATGAATACATTTTATTTTGTTAGTAGAGATTTCAAATTTGGGAGTGGCAGGCAGAACGATGATAATTATTGATTATCAGGACCAGCTGTTGGCATAATGGCTATGTCGCTGGACTCTCATGTAGTCGACTGTGGTTCAAGTCTCGGACCTGGTGGCTTAAACTCACGCCAGGTGTGTGTGCCTGTGCACCCAAGATCCTGAGAGGAGAATGGAGAAGGGATTGCGGCATGGCCATCACTTATAGGGGGTGACTTCTTGCTTTTTGTCTCTCTGTCTTTCTGGAAGCACACACATCCTATAGCAAAAAAAAAAAAAAAATCTACCTCCCCCCCCCAAATGATTATCATAACAATTATAATCATTATAAAGCTTGATAACTTATTAAAACTTAAAATTTAACTTCAGTAAGTAACATTCTGAAATATAAAACAAAACATATCCTTTTAATACTGTTTTGATGTGCATTAAAACAAGATACATTATCTTTGAATGAACTGGATTATTGTAGCCCAAATGAATGGATTCCAAGGTTTGAATGATGACATGCCCTGGCATATAAATACAACATGACAGAGTATGGCTACCACAGGGGTCAGTAAAATCACGCCATAACGAGAGAGCAGTTTTTGAACTTGAAAAGGGAAATAAAAATAAGTGAATCTCTATATTACAAAGCACTTTTAGAAATGGGAGATTCCAAGGTGACCAAGACCTCTAGAAATAAAAATGAAAAAGTCCAATTGCAAAATGACCTAAGCCCTTGGAATTGGTAGGATGATGTTGATGATAGTAGGGTAGACTTAGGGGGAAGAGAGGGGCAGGAGAGGGAGAAGAGTCTGATCATAGGCAAGAAAAGTTAGGAACAGCTACCAACATGGTGACAAGCAACACAGGGACACCTGCTCAGTGACATGCAGAGTGGGGGCGGGAGGAACTGAGTTTCAGAGGTCTGCTGAGGACTGCCAGACCATGAAGGGGTGTATGGAAGTTGGCTTCCTCATTGGTAAAATGGAAGGCTGTGATTTTCCTCTGTAAAAAGACACTGTGATTACTCAAAATCCTCCTCTAGGTCTCAAAACTAAAGGATTCTTCTCACCTGGAGAAGATGAAGATCGACCCCTGGACCATGCCAGCTCCTGAAACTACATGCATCCCTACCTGCAAAGTATCTCTTCCCCCAGTCTGGGATTTCTGACTCATGTTAGTGACCCCTCCCCAACACCTGGATTAAATCTCTTAGCTTATGTTTGAAGGAACATTTCCTTCCTTCTGAAATGTTCTAATTGTGGCCAAGCGAGCTGGTGATGTGGTAGTTGAAGCAGCTGGATCCCACATGGTCGACTGAGTGGTTCAATTCCCAGACCTGGGGGCTAGAAAAACACTATGTTCAAAAATCCCCAAAGAGGAAAGAAATGGAGGAGAAGGAGTGGCAGGATGGCCATTTCCCCTGGTGGATGCTTTCTCATTTTCATTCTCTCATATCTCTCTGGGGCAAGTGCTTGCACCCTATGGAAAATATTTTAAAAAAATAAATAAATCAACGAGGGGCCAGCAGGTGGCATGGTGGCAAAGGTGATGGACTCAAACACTGCTGATTGCACCTGAGTCCCAGACCTTGTAACTTGAAGCTCATGCCAGGTGTGTGTGCGTGCATGCCCCAAATCCCAGGAGAATGGAGGAGAAGGGATTGTGGTGTGGACCATCCCCCTTGGGGGTGAATTCCTATTTCCCTCTCACTTTCTCTATCTCTCTCTGGTGAGTGCCAAGTTGCACTATGGCAAAAACCTTAAAAAACATTGACAAAAAGAAAAAAAAATTAATTATCAACAGAAAGGGGATAAAAAAGGGGAAAAAAAAGTTGTATGAAGGTGAAAAATAGCTTTTATGAAACTCAAGCTAGCACTGAGTAGTTGTGCTTTCCCACCTAGGAATGTTACGATAGCTTCTAGTTTTGTTTTGCCTGAGAAGACACTATTAAAAAGAGATTGAGTTTAGAAAGAAAGGTGAAGATTATAAACCCGCAAAATTGCCTAGAAGAGCTACAATCAGAGTGCCTCAGCCTTGGTTTTGGTTCTGTATAATTCACTCCCATAGAATTTTCTAGCTGCAGACAGTGAAAACATCAGACAACAATACCAGCTGCAGACTCTCTCATTCATCGTTTGCTCATATTACCTGGGAGAACCAGAGTGTTGTAAGGACCAGGGTATGCATGAACTACAGGAAAAAGCCAAGCTATTGGTTGAGAAGAAAACAGGTCACAAATAACCACCTAATTCTAAAAACTACAGGGAACATACAGTCTTTAATGTAAAGATAGTGGTGAGTATGGGAAGAAAGAGGATTTCTACTTTGTCCGTCTTGCTCTACGGTTTTGTGGCAACTGAATAAATGAGGAAGATTAAATTAGCTGTCATTCTGACTGCACCACTTAATAAAGTTAAAATTGAGAGAACATCTTCATAAAATAGAATTCGAAGCCTAACACATTAATGGTGCTTAATGAACCAAAACTGGGTAAATCCCTTTGGAGAGCCAACATATAAACAAAGCTATTAATTAGGTCACAGTTGTTTCCCAACAAGGCTTTTGTTTGATTTACTTACAGTAAACAAAACCATATCCATCCGTCTTTGTGGAGAAGTATTCACC